TGAAACTGCATATGACTTTGTTTGTGGTGCTAGTCCAAGTTATTAGTTATGTGGATGCTAGTAATAGCTAATTATTGTATGGTGCTTCATTGTATAGTAGTACAAAGGACTTTCATATGTTTTATTTGATCTTTATTGTAATTATGTGATGTAGGTAAGGGGTGAGGGTAGTTTTTAAAATTTTTTTAGTGAATAAAATAATTGAATCTCATTGAAGTGGATTATTCCAAGGTTGGCCAGCTAAAAAGTGAGAGGTTTGATATTCAAAGTCATGTTTTTGACTCCTAGCTCAGAGTTCTTTCCACTCTAATTTTGGCCTCAAAATATCCTCAACCCTCAGAAATTTTTTTAGTTGCTTCCTCATTATTTTTGCACTTTGGCTAGAATTTTATTGATTTTATTTTTATTTTCACCTTTTCAGTCATTCATCCATCATTTATGAACCTCTGTTATATTCCATGGATGAAGATGGACACAGGTACAGTAAGAATAAGACATGGTCTTTGTCCTTAAGGAGTGTAATCTACAGCAGAGAGAGCCATAAGCAAGAAGTGTGTTGAGTGTTGTCAGTCATGGTCTTACTTCTTCCTAGTCCATTCGTCTTCTCCAAGATTTACAGAGTAATTTATACTTGACCCTGTGGAAATGCATCTTTTTTATAGTCATCTTTTAAGTGATTATAACAGCTTTTCCTAACATATCTTAAGTAATAATGGCATGAATTAATCCCAGCGAAGGTAAACTGGATAGTAAATTGGGAATAGCTCTATGGCAAGGGTTCCCAACTCCCAGGCCACAAACCAGTACGTTAGGAACCTGGCATGTTAGGAACCTGGCACACAGCAGGAGATGATCGGCAGGCAAGGGAGCAAAGCTTTGCCTCTGCTCCCCATTGCTCACATTACTGCGTGAGCTCTGCCTTTTATCAGATCAGCAGTGGCATTAGACTCTCGTAGGGGCATGAACTCTATTGTGAACTGCACATGCCAGGGATCTAGGTTGTGCATTCCTTACTATAATCTAATGCCTGATGATCTGAGGTGGTGATACTACCATGGTCTCCCATCACCTCCTGATAGGACCATCTTGTTGAAGAAAAACAAGCTCAGGGCTTCCACTGATTCTGCATTGTAGTGAGTTGTATAATTTCATTATAAGTTACAGTGTAACAATAATAATAGAAATACAATGCACAATAAATGTAATACATTTGTCTCATCCTCAAACCACCCCCACCCCCGCCATAGGAAAATTGTCTTCCATGAAATCAGCCCCGATGCCAAAAAGATTGGTGATCACTGCTCTATGGATCTTTGTTACATTTAAAAGAGAGGCAGTGGCATAGCAGTAAGCCTGTGACGACACCCCATTCCTTCTCTACTCCCCTAGCATCCTGATGTTTTTTGTGTCACTGTCCTGTGTGACATACATACACTATTATAATAAATTCTCTACTTCTGTTCTCTCCAAGTGGCCTCTAGGTGCTTTGAGGGCACTTGTGTTGCCAACGGTTTCATATTCATAATACTTAACTCGGGTGCCCAACTTGTTCACGTGTGGTGGTGCATTTTATCTTCCATTTTCTATTGTAATACCACATATTTCCTTAGTGTTTTAGAACTTACAGATATTCTCTCATTGAATGATGTATCATCCAATGCTTAAGACTTCTACCTCAAGTGGGTCCTGGCAGTTCTGGCAGTTAACTCTCTCATATTCCTCAAACCCCCTCTGCCTTTCTCCTTCTCACCTGTTGACCTTGCTTGCTTTGCTGAGAATGTAGAAGCAGTTAGAAGAGAACTTATGTGTCCTCCTGCCAAACTCCCAGGTGCTCTACCCATGCTCCCCCCTAAGGCTGTCACCTCCATCTGCACTCTGCTCCCAGGTGGAAATATCTGCACCTATGCCATCTCTTGCCTGAATCACCAACTTTTTCTCCTTTTTGGATTTTTTTCAGGATTACTTCCATCAGCATGTAAACATGTGTTTCTATCTTCTTACTATTTCTCAAGCATACCAAGAACATTTTTCTTGAAACCTTCTCCTAGATATTCTAATATTTACTCCCTTGCTTCATTCAAATAATTGTCATCTTATCAGACAGTTCTTGCCAATATCAACTCCCATCTTTTTTCTGTTCTACTCTATTTTCCTTATATCAGTTTCTCCCAAAATGTGCATGTTTGTGTGTGTGTATCTGTGTGTGTGTGTGTGTGTGTGTGCATATGTATGTAGTTTCTCTCCTATTTTATTTCCATGAGAGCAGGAGTTTTTTCTGTTGTGTTCACCTTTCTACATAGTGCCTAGAAGAGTGACTGAAATATCATAGAAGCCTCCAAATATTATCTTTTTGACTCCGTGTCCTTCCCAGTAATTAAACCATTTCTTTGTTCACCTTCATAACACACAATTCAAGAGTTGTCTATATCATAGCGCTGCCTCTTATCTTCCCATTCTCTCTTAAAAGTTCCTCCATTCTGGATCTAATCTCTGCTGCTCTCCAGAAATTGTACTAAAACAGGCCACCAGTGACCACCATGTTGCCAAATGTAATGGCAGTTCTAAGCTGTCTCCTCACTCAACTTCTGGGTACCATTCCACACCAGTGACTATATATTTTTTTCTTTGCAACCGGTTTCACTTGACTCCTGATCTTCCTCCTGCCTTACAGGTCATTCTCCTTAATTCCCCTTTGTTGAATTCCTCCCCTTATTCTACCTCCTAATATTGGTGACTACTCGGTTCAGAGTTCACTTTTAGATCCTTCTCTCTTTCTCTCAACTAGAATCATGTCTTTGTATACATTCTTTACACTGCTGACTTCTAAATATTTATCTTCAGCATGACATTTTCCCTGACTTCTAGATTTGTATATTCAGCTCACTTGATACAAGTCATCACAGATGTAACCCATCCAAACTTGGCTTCATATCCTCTCCCCTCACCACAAACAGCTTTTCCCTGCATTCCTCACTTCTGTACATGGTAGCACCATTTACCCAGGTGTTCAGGCCTAATCCTTTGTAATCGTCTCCATCCCACATCAACAAATCCTGTCAACTTCACTTTTGAATGATATCCAGGGTTTGACCTCTCTCCAACCCTAACTAGAAGCCACCAGCATCCTTTGCTTGGGCTACAGTGACAGTGTCTCATGCTCCTAAGCCTGGGTGATTCTTCTAGAGTGAAGGGAATGGGTCATGGCACCCCTTTGCCCACAACTCCTCATGGCTCTCTACATACTTGGACTATGCTCCAAAGCTCATCCCATGGCCTATAAGGCCCTCTGGGCCTGCCCTGCTAAGTTTCTGCCCTCTTTTCCTCCCACTGGTCCCACTAGCCCCCTTGATCTTCTTGGAGCTTAATGGATTACTTCTTTTGCACTGCTATAAATAAGTAGTTGATACTGGGTAATTCATAAAGAGAAGAGGTTTATTTGGCTCATAGTTCTGCAGGCTGTACAAGAAGCATGGTGCCAGCATCTGCTTGGCTTCTGGTGAAGTCCTTGGAAAGCTTTTGCTAATGGCAGAAGGCAAGGGGAGCCATCGTGTCATATGGTGAGAGAGGGAGCAAGAGAGAGAAGGGAGGTGGTACCAGACTCTTTAGCAATCAATCTCTTGCATGAACTAACAGAGTGAGAACTCATTACTGGAGGGCAGGCACCATGCCATTCATGAGGGATTCACCCCCAGGCCCAAATTCCTCCCACCAGACCTCACCTCGAACACTGGGGGTCACATTTTACATGAGATTTGGAGGGAACAGCAATTCAAACTGTATCACTTACCAAACCCTTTCCCACTGCAGGGCTTTTGTTTGCTGCCCCTTCCTGCCTGGAATATTCTATTCTCAGCTTCATGTAGCTCTTGGCTTTGTGTCTCCTCATTCGAGATGTCATTTCTAACCATGGTGTTAATATACCCCGCTTCAGTGGACTAGAAAAAGAAATCATGGTATATACACTGTGGAATATTACACAGATGTAAAGGACAAAATCATGTCCTTTATAGCAACATGGATGCAGCTAGAAACCATCATTCTAAGTGAATTATCACAGAAACAAGAAGTGGAATACCACTATTTTCATTCATAAGTGGTCACTAAACATTGGACACACATGGACACAGGGGCAGGAACAACAGGCACTGTGCACAGCTAAAAGAGAGAGGGGGAGGGGGAATAAGGGGTACAATACCCATGGAACCCTGCTCACTTTTGGGTACCATGTTCACTATTGTGAGGGAGGGTTTGTTAGAAGCCCAAACCTCACCTTCACACAATATACCTATGTAACACATCATCACATGTATCCCATGATTGCAAATTTAAATATATACATACTATGCGTGTATATACATATATATGTGTGTGTGTGTGTGTGTGTGTGTGTGTGTGTGTGTGTGTGTGTGTGTATTTACCTTTATTACTCTTGGTCCTTTGACCCTGTCCTTTTGTTCCTGACTCTTGTTACTACTAATAAAATTTAGTATTACTACACTACATTTTGTAACTATTCATTGGTTTGTTATCGGTCTTCTCTCCAGGTGTATGCTCCATGGGTACAAGAACTTGTTCTGTCCTGTTCTTGGTCTTGTTGAATGAATGGATTCAATCTTTACAAAAAACAGAAATGAAGATGTAACAGCTATTCATAATCTTTTATATTCCGGGCACCCTTTCCTAGAAATTTTATACAAATTACATTTTTGATTATTAATCCCTTACAACAATCCTGTAAGGTGAAGTTCCGTTTTATTTCATAAAAATAAAAACTACAGTGAAAAAAACTAGTCACAGTGACTGGTATAAGGAAAGCTAGAGCACTGGGATTCAAACCTTGGTGAATCTATTCCAAAAGCAAAACTCTTTTTGCTTGATCTCTATTGGTCTGTATTATCATAAATTATAAAATAATAATTATATAGCAGATAAATTATAGCAACTTATGATTATATGACTTATTTTTTTCCACCTATGATGAGCACACTGAGGACGGAGTGATGGGGGAGTTGCTTAGGACTGTGTCGCTAGACCCCAGTGTTGCTGCTCCTGTTGGAAAAGGGCCTCAGAACCTGGTTTGGGTTCAGTGGGCTCTTTTTGTACAACCACGTTATTTCTGTGACACAAATACTTTGTGTGCCTCGTTTTATCTGAGTTACTTTCATGTTTTATATCCACTCTATTTGACCCCTTGTAAACTGGCAGAGGCTCACGTTTGTAAGTTCAGCACGCTCCTTTTCAGAAACTAGTCCACAACTTGTGTCATGACTTTGCTTCATGTGCAGGTTACCCTTTGGTTGATGTTTGCAGTACCTGTGTAAACTGAATGAAAGCGGCAGTGGAGTTGAAATTTGCTGTTTTTCTTATACTCACTTTCTAATTGTGCCAGTGTACAACCTGACTCTTATCAGGAATAGTTTATTGCTCACTTATAATTTGCTGGTTCATTGATTCATTTTCAGGCTAGAGAAAAGCCCTCAGCTGAAATATTTACTGATTGCAAAAAAAGTGAGGTAATTTACTGAAAGCTTTTTAAAAATATGGGGGTTGTGGTACCTGGTACACTGGATGGTAATCTACATTTTAATTAAATAATTATATTTATAATTAGCATGAAAGAAGATAATTTAATTGATTGGCCAATTACAGAAATAAGTTGCAGACTGAAATTTCAAGCTTATATTTCCCTGTTTTTCCAAAGCAAATCTATGCATTGTTGGATAAATGTTATGTACCTACAAGCAGAGCTATGAAACCCTTCTATAAACATGAAAGTGAAGAGATACATGCCAAAACATATCCCAGAGACAAGATTAAAATTACTTTTATAAATCATATTATACCATGTTTCATGTTTTTGCTGAGAACTCAGTGGTATTTATTCTCCTATGGTGGCATGCTATATATCTTTCTGGATTAGTTATATATTTTTTACTTGGTCTTGAAAATTTGTCCTTGTTTTGTGCAATACAAGAGAAATACACTTGTTCAAAGTCACTCTGCTATACAAGAAAGGACAGTGTCTTCAAAAGCCTGAAATTGCCTTATCTTGAAATAATGGTTTTGAATATACAGATTCAGATCCTGAAAATTGCTTCTAAAATTACTTCTTCATCTTTTCTTGTATAATATTTGCAACTTATGTAACAAACTGCTCAGTATCCCTCCTTAAGATGTAGTATTTTCAGTATCCTTACTTAAAATGATGGGGTAATTAGCACACAGCGGTTTCTCTTCAGAATTTTAACATAGTTTGTGCAATCTGAGTCTGTTCTGGGTCTTTGAAAATTTCTACCACTTGTTCATTGTGGTCTGTGTCATTCTTTAGAGAAGGGGAGGATGTTTTTCAACATTCTAAAATATGCACACAGCCAAAACCAATCTATTATGTATACTGTATACATACATTTATACTTATACATGGGTGTCATCTGCTCTGCTTAGATACTGAATATTTTAGAGTGGTATGAATAAATATGTTTAACTTTTCATGGAAACGTAATATCACACACACAGTTTATAGATTAGGCAATGCTATCTGGTGCACTTGCCAGAATGAATCCTAGGGGTTCAGCCTGTCTGGCACTGGCTTTTGTTTCTGAATACTTTGTACCTGAGCATCAACCAGGTGAGAGGAAGATACTAGAGACTGCCAAATGACTGCGTGTCTCTGTTGATTTTAATCCTTTATAAAGGAACACTCATTTTCTTTAGTAGCCATTTCTTGGGGACTATTCCACTTGTAGGCCCAAAAGACTTTCTTATACTCGGCACCTATATTGTGATGAATTTTAACAGGAGTCTTGATAAGTGAAGCAATCTTCAATGCCAACTGGAAAGTTTATATCATTCAGAGATGGGAGCATAGGCTTAGATTTTATTCATGCTAATTTTTAAGTGGAAAGGAGAAACAGATGCATTTTTTTTTTAATCTTACTCTTTGGTGAATGTATCTGTCAGTGTTAAACTCTATCTCATGTGAAACAAACACCGAGTTTGAATGTCTAAAATACACCTAATCTTTCTAGATCTGGTTTTTCACTTGCATGTCAACTTTTTTTGATAAAGGTCAAATTAAATGCTTAATTTTTATTAGCCACTTTCGTTGGTATGTGATGACTTACACTACCCACGCCATTTTAGCTCTTTAAATTTATATATCTTTTTTCCCCCAATCTCAATTTTTGCTTTACCATAGCTCTTAAAATATTTCAGAAATTTACTTAGTTTCAAAAGATTTCCTGTGCCCCCTGGCGTCTGGGAATCTTTCTTTCTTTGCTTAGTGCCTTTCAAGAGGTAGAATTTGCTGTCACTGAGTCTTAGGTGATATTCACGAGGGCAGTTTCAGTTTTTAAGTCAAATTCCACTAGAGAATAGATGGTATACATCATATCCTGATGCTGACATTGATTTTTCATGTGATCTTAAGAGTACATTCGTTCTGACCTAGCTCAATTCTTCTGTGACTGGTACTGGATTGATTACAGGATTTTATCTGTAATAAATTATTTTTGTGTTACTCTAGTTGTGCCATTACTATACCAGCATGTGTGTGTATGCGTTGTGTGTGTTTAGCTTTGCTTTAGTGGTTTTGCAGCTCTAATACTCAGTGGCCTATCTTGCGTGAGGAGGGGTGTAGCAGAAGGAAGCAATTAGCCTCGTCCAGTTTGGAATTTATTCCCCAACAGTTTTTAGAATTGCCCATGCGTGGTGATGACAAAAAGCAGACCGACTGTCGTCAGTATATTGCTGTTTTGCATCTCCCTACAGAGTCACTACCTTCTTGCCTGCATCTGGGGCTGACTGTGACCTTGACTCCTCTGCTACTCCTATTAGTTACTTAATTCCCTGGATTTTAGGGTAACTTGTGAAAGCAGTAGTTGAAGAGGAAGACACTCCTGAATTTAAGCCAACAGCCTTGTTTTATCAAGTACTTTAATGAATTCCAAAGGATATGGCCCATGTTAATACATTCATTCTTCCCATAATAGCACAGAAGAGTAGACTTGAATCTAGTATTTTTCCTTTTCTAACATGAAAAATGCAAAAGACCACTTTCTCCTCTTTTGTCTGTGTTCGTTGAGTAGCATTACTTTAGAATGCCCTTTCTTCGTCTAAATTTTGATTATTGACTGACTTTTAATGGCCTACTGATGATATAGCCAACCTTCTCTTTCTCATGCCACCATTGCCTGCTACTCCCCCATCCAAATACATTTGCTTGCTATTTTCTTTAAGGGTGTGTTTTATGTGGCTCTGTTGTCATTGGCAGCACTCATTGTGCATTCAGGAAGTCTGTAGTCTATTAACCTTATGTTTTTGTCAAAACATTGGATAAAAGGAAATCACAGAATTGTACTTTGTATTGTTGTGCAGTGAGTGATTTTATATTATTGTAGGAGGCAGTATAACTCAGAGGTACATCAAGTTTTTGGGTTTTGCATTTGGGTAGACCCAGATTTAAGTCTCAATCAACCACTTGCCAACTGTTTTCCATGGGCCATGACTTCCTCTCACAATGCCTTTTTCTTTCTCATCTGTAAAGTAACCATGATTATAGTCATAATCCTTAATTTACAGAACTCTTTGTTTCTCTTCCATTGACTGTTCATTCTTGTGCCACATTGCACTATGTGTTAGGTATAAATTGATAAATAAAACTAACATGGGCCTTCCCTTGATGTCATCAAGATAATGTGTAGTACCTGGGATAGAAATGATTAATGATTATTAGCTGCCCCTAGGGAGGCGGTAAGTTCTACAGTGTAATCGATGGTAGCTCCTTTCTCTTCTGAAGGTAGAGAAAATATATATTCATTCTTTTATTTGTCAAATAGTTGACTGAACATCCACGACACCCTGGGTGCCAGGAACAAGGCTGTCAGAGTCCCTTCACGTCGTGTACATGTTGCAGAAGACGGTGAACAAGGAGACAGTTAAATAAACAAAATCATTGCAGAGTGTGATCCATGTTATAAAAGGACTGGCGAGCTAAGGGTGGGGCAGCAGGGTAAGGAAAGGAGATGGTCAGGTACTACCTCAGGAAAGGGACAGAGCAGGTCCTGCAAAGGTCTGGAGGGAGAACCTTCTGGAAAAGGAGAAGAATAAGCAAAGTCCTTGAGGTAGAAAGGGGCTTTGCGCATTTGAGGAATAAAAAGGAGATATGTGTGGCTGGCTTGTAGTGAGCAGAGTGGAGATGAGGTGAGACGGTGCTATAGTGGTAGAAGGAAATAGATCATACAGGGCCGGATAGACTGTGAGAAGGAGTTGACTTCCACGAGGATTGGAGTGGGGCCAGGACAAGTCACAGGTATATAGGCGGTTAGTAGAAGGAAATAATAAGGATGCTGCCTAGGTGTATGGTATTAATTATTATTAATTGCCTGACAATACCACTCATTGAGATTAGGAACAGTGGGGGATGGTACAATTTGGGGGAGTTAAAGAAATAAAGGTTTACATTTTGGGCATGTTAAGTTCCATGGTGAGTATAGATCTTTGAAAGTGTGAGCATTATTTGTGGCTAATCCTAAGGAAAAGGCTGATCTATATTTCCTTTTCTGTGACATTTAAGAAAGGCATTCCAGAACTTACCTGTAAAAGTCTCAGTCTTTAATTTTTGCTAAGTCTTAGTTGGTAGGAAGCTAAAAGTTCAAGTTGCTAAAGATTGCTAATGGCCTGTGCGGAAACCATAGAGTCAGAATCTAGATTTGTTGGCTGGTAACAAAATGTCCGGGAATGCTAAGGAGTTTACTTGGAATTTATGAGTGCCACAAGTTTGCTCAGTGCTGATGGATTTCCTGATGTAGTGTATTAAAGATGAAAAAGTAAAGTCCCCTTCTGGAGAAGTGTTTATTTTTACTAAACTGGGAGTAGAAAGACACTGGCGAGATGTTTATGTATTCGGAGCTACCATTTTGTCTTCTGCTTGGCCAGCTGCCACCTCTGACTATTAGCAATTGAGAGGTCTGACGTTTTGATCATGTGTGATATTTGGGCATCTTTATCCCAGCTCTCTTTCTGCTGACATTTCCCAGGCACACTGTTAAAACTTGCCTCACAGTCCATAATCTTT